GAAATTTATCAAATAACCAAAAAAACACGAATTTAAAAGCAGATTTTTTTCAAAAAGTATCATTTTTTATTATTTGTTGGCCTTTTTTGTGTATTTTGTGTATTTTTTTAGTAGCGCCTGTTATTTAGCATTATTAATGTTATTATTTTATCAGGATATACCGCTTAGTTCAAAAGTTATTACGTTTTCTTTACAATAAGTAATTGGAAGAAAAAAAATCTACAAAATATTTTAAAAAAATCTCAAAAAAATGTTGATCTCTTTTTTGTCGATAAAAATAGGTCTAGTTTCATCTATTTTCATATGTACACTTTAACGTGACTCACACTGTATTATATCCTTATACATATACATAAAACAGCGAATTTGGTGTTAAGACTGCATGATTTGAGATACACCTTCAACAGAAATGGCATGATGGAAAAACACTGCTGTAACGTTCTTTCGAACATATACGTACCTACTTAAATTAAATAGGTATTTTACCATATGTTAATAGGTATTCATCGGTATGTAACCACGTAGGCAATAACTGCTAGGATTATGTTTGATTACATTTATCGATTTCTGCATAAAGGACATCTTTATCGATGCCAATAGCTTGGAATATTTTTTATGACAGCTTTGCATATCTGTAATGTACGGCGACTTTGTTTGACTTCTATATTTATCACTGATAATGAAAAAATATCTTTTAGTGCATAATACGTATGCACTAAAGGATTTATTAGAGAACCGCTAAAAATAAATTATTAATTCGTTTATCTGTAAAATTTTAATTTGGAAAGTGCCGAATAATTTTAGCTTAAAATTTATGTGATTTTTGCTTGTAGAATGTACGTATAGGTAACCAAAAATTAGAAAACAGAGCAATCACCATTGAAAACATGCAATACGAGTAAAGTAAACTAAAGGACGTGCGAATGCGAACCTATTTTTATTTAAATAGAATATTAGAAACAGTAATTTGAAATTTCAAACAAGTTCAGTCTTCTCTGATCTCCTTTATGACCTTTTGCTCTTCGTTCGTTCGTTCGTTCGTTCGTTTCAGCCAAATGACGTCCACTGCTGGACAAAGGCCTCCTCCAAGGCTTTCCACAATGCACGGTCCTGCGCTGCCCGCATCCAGGCTCTTCCCGCGACCTTTACGAGATCGTCGGTCCACCTAGTAGGAGGCCTGCCCACGCTACGTCTTCCAGCCCGTGGTCTTTTGCTCTTATTCCACGGGAAATAGCTTTCATCACGACCTAGATGGAAGCGTGACTTAAAAACGAGAAATGTTAAAAAGTATAAAAGCAACAGTGACCATTTCAATTTTCATAATACGAACCGGAGGTTCGAAGTTATAGGAATAACTTCCTTTGAATTTTATTAATTTCTTCATACTCATTTCTCGTTACATCATTTTATTTCGGCGCCCGTAATTATTTCCAACTTATTATTTATTTTTAACGCAATAATTTACTAGTAGGTAATCCGTTTCAAAGTTTGTACCTTGCTATCGATTAGAATGGATACAATAAAGATTTAAAACTGAGTGGATCACTTTTATCGCTTTGTAAATCCATTACAAGTTTTAGACATAGCACGTTATCGCTACGTCATAGGTTCGAGTAATTGCTAAATCTGCTCGGAAGTGAGGAGTTGCCAAGCCCATTTTTATCTCTACAATCATGTATCTAAATTGCCTTCTTATTTTATACTTATAATCGTAGTATACTTACAAGGTAGGTACTTAACTCAATTTAAAGTATCATTTGTCATATTTAAATTATATTTTAAATTAACCTGCAAAATACGTGTGATGCTCAATACGATACTAAATTATATAACATAAATTAGATAAGTTATAAAAATGTTGCTTGCAGTTATATTAAAAGCTGATTCAGTTAAACTCTCTAGTATTCGAGACGGCAACGTTAAAAATAAAACCGACTCCAAAAAACCTACACTAAAAAGTTGAAAAATAATTACTAATTACCTACTTATTTATTAGGACGAATTAATATTTATGTAGGTATACCATGAGTGATACTTCTGGAGTCGGTGCCAAGATTATGAAACATGTAAAGTTTGCCTGCACCGACTCCAAAAGTATCAATCATGGTATACCTACATAAATATTAATTCGTCCTAATAAATTTGTAGGTAANTATAATAAACATAAGTACAGAACTCTATTACCACAGCATTATTCTACTTGGAGAGGCTAGTAAAATGTATTAATGAAATGCACACTATACCTACTCGTTGTTAATTTTTTCATGATGTAGTGTAAGCCGGTGACAATGCCGCGTAAACTGCAAAATATTCGCATTGTTAAATTTGTGTTTACCCTCTCCTATGTAGTTACGTCACGCGTGACGCGCACACCTCGTTAGTTTTCGGGATTATCGTTTGATTATCACCTGATAATCTGACTAAGCCTCATGATAGCACTGTGATGCGTTTATCCTAAATTGATTAGGATTACGACTTTAATTGATAAGTTAATCAATATTACCTACGAGTAATATAATTTCTTCCCGGAAATGAAAGAAAATCGCATTTTCATTCAAAATCCTATTTAGCTCATAAAAAATGATAATTTTAAAAGGGGAAAAAATTTTGGAATACTTTCTTTTCTAAGACAACGCTGTGTCCAATAAGTAATATAAACTTTTTGATTCCCGGAATAAACACGCCCCGCGGGATGCGCGTAGACTTTCTCTAACAATCCCAACTACATAGCCGTGGGCATAAGCTAGTAGGTATAAAATAAATGTGCAATGTATTTTGGTTATAATTCAATTTAATATGAATGCATCACGAAATATACCTAGACATCTCCTCCAGCCTGCAGTGGCTTGGTGTCGGCGATTTTATGTCCAAAGAATCATATCATGTCGACGACTCCTACACTTTCTATGACTTCCTATCAGCAGGTGTTGCTTAGACTGCATGATTTGTATGTAGGTACACCTTCATCAGAAATGGGATGATGGAAAAGCACTACTGTAACGTTCTTTCGAACATATACTTTTGGTACTTAAATTAAATAGGTATTTTACCATATAAATAGGTATTCATTGGCATGTAACCACGTAGGCAATAACTGCTAGGATTATATATTTTATTACATTTATCGATTTATGCATAAAGAACATCTTTATCGATAGCAATAGCTTGGAATATTTTTAATGACAGCTTTGCATATCTGTAATGTTCGGCGTACGACTTTGTTTGACTTCTATATTTATCACTGATAATGAAAAAATATCTTTAAGTGCGTATACGTATGCACTAAAGGATTTATTAGAGAACCGCTAAAAATAAATTATTAATTCGTTTATCTGTAAAATATGGCAAGGGCAGAATAATTTTAGCTTAAAATTTATGTGATTTTAGCTTGTAGAATGTAGGTAAGTACGTAAAAATTAGAAAACAGAGCAATCACTATTGAACACATGCAATACAAATAAAGTAAACTAAACTACGTGCGAATGCTAACCTATTTTTATTTAAATATAATATTAGAAAAAGTAATTTGAAATTTCAAACAAGTTCAGTATTCTCTGATCTCCTTTATGACCTTTTGCTCTTTTTCCACGGGAAATAGCTTTCATCACGACCTAGATGGAAGCGTGACTTAACAACGAGAAATGGTAAAAAGTATAAAATCAGCAGTGACCATTTCAATTTACATAATACGAACCGGAGGTTTAAAGCTATAGGAATAACTTCCTTTGAATTTTAACAATTTCTTTATACTCATTTCTCGTTACATCATTTTATTTCGGCGACTCTACCTTCGAAAGCCCGAAATTATTTCCAACTTATTATTTATTTTTAACGCAATAATTTACTAGTAGGTAATCCGTTTCAAAGTTTGTATCTTGATTTCGATTAGAATGGATACAATAAAGATTTAAAACTGAGTGGATCACTTTTATCGCTTTGTAAATCCATTACAAGTTTTAGACATAGCACGTTATCGCTACGTCATAGGTTCGAGTAATTGCTAAATCCGCTCGGAAGTGAGGAGTTGCCAAGCCCATTTTTATCTCTACAATCATGTATCTAAATTGCCTTCTTATTTTATACTTATAATCGTAGTATACTTATAAGGTACTTAACTCAATTTAAAGTATCATTTGTCATATTTAAATTATATTTTAAATTAACCTGCAAAATACGTTTGATGCTCAATACGATACTAAATTATATAACATAAATTAGATAAGTTATAAAAATGTTGCTTGCAGTTATATTAAAAGCTGATTCAGTTAAACTCTCTAGTATTCGAGACGGCAACGTTAAAAAGTTATAAAAAAGCAACTGCCGTTTGTATAAAAATAAATGGAACAATTGAATTAGTGCCAAGTCGGTTGAACAAACTTGGACTAGTTCTATATTTTCTAAACAAGGACGGTTAAAAAGATATCTACGAACACAAAATCTGTTTGTTGGAGTATCACATATCGAATGGGCTTAGTATGTTATATGTCTAGCCAAAATTGCCCACGACTTCGTATGCGTAAAATAGTTTCAATATTTTTTCTTGTTTTAGCAAAATTTTCATTGATGCTTGGTACAATTATTACTACTATGGGTTATTCAACACAAAATATTTTTTCAAATCAAACCTGTACATCCCGATATCAGCGCGTTCAAACGATAACGTATTAAAAACAAGACTTATGTAATTACATAATTGTTTTCAGGAAAATGTAGACTTCTATGATTCACATCGAGGCCCGTGAGAGCATTCCCATAACTAGAAATAAATGTAATCATTATTCATAGTAATTCGTGAGATTTCTATCCACAATATAGCGGATCTACAATGCGTGTACATAGATCTAAGGATGTCCGCAGTTCGCAGCGCATGTTGAATAACTCTACCTGTATATTTTCAAACTGAATCGATTGTGTGTACACACGTTCTTTCATTGTCAGTTTCAATGAGTGATTAATGTGTCGTCTATTATGGCAATTGGTCGCAGTGCGCATGCGACGAATTTTATTATTAGATAGACGGTAAACGGGATCACACGGGCACGAGCTTTAAGTGTAGTGTTCTCAACAAACGACATGTGTTTACGTTGCGGGGCGCTCTCCTGTCACTCGGTGATATAAACCGCTATAGTTTCCGTGGAATTGTTATTAGTAGCAAGCCTGTCACGGTCAAGACATGGCGGGAAACTGTGAACCTGGTAAGCTTTAGCCTAATTAACCAATCAGTGTTTGCAAGAAATGCGCATGCATCAATTAATTACGTATGCGGACACATGGCCTCCCATCAATTCATCTTCATCAAACGATTTTATCAATATCTACTAGATGCCATTGAGTGTGACTCGTAAATTCATCTATTAGGTATATCGTCTGCACTGTTTTTGTAAGTGATACTGAATTATGACCGGATTATTTTAGTGTGATATTGAAACTGTTCAGAAAACGGAATGTCGGCATCTTGTTTAATTGCATTGTATCGTAAAGAATAATACCATAGTTATATTAAACAAAAGTTGATTTTACCGCAGACTCTAGAGTGTCTTTAAAAATCTCCTGTCATTGAAAAAAGACGACATTATTAAAGAAAGTTAATCTTAAATTAAAGCTTTAAGATGCGATATAAAATAATAAGTTATTACTTCATAATTATTTGAAGTGTGTAACTGACTTTGTGCAATAGTTTCAGACTCAGTTAAAAGAGAAATACTTTTTACTACAGGAATATAAATGGACCCGAATTTATACTAATCATTTAGCCCCTGCACGTGGCGTAAGCTCTAACTCAGTCTGACAGAGTTGTAGAAAAAAGGATACAATCCTATTAAAACATTAAAGATTCTTTGTTCTTAAAATCGAGCTACAAAATAAAACTCTGGAGCAATGTTGCCATTTGTAAACATGAAAATGACAATTAGACTGAGTTCTTGAGAATTAATTTATTCCAGTCGTAAGACGCGTCATAGCGCAACTGTACCTATCATCCTCGTACTTAATAGGTACATATTGTGATACTAGTTCATACTGATAAGTTTGCAAATTCATGTGACAGAACTAGATTTTAGTAGTTAATTTCAGTTCATTAGCATTCATTAATTGGGATGACGACTGGGTAATGAAATCGAAATTCTTTTTAGTCCGTAGTCCGATAATAAGAAAATAATGCCGAAAGGCATTAAGTCCGCCTTATGTACACTGTTGTATGTGCATATACATTTAAAATAAATAAATAAAATACTGAGCACGTATTTTTTCATAATCGAACCTAATTACAGTAGTATATTGAGTTGAAATGTCGTGTGACGTCACTTACTAAGTAAAATATCTATTTTTTTCCTGGAAAATTGCAATAGGTATATGATTCAAACATTTTAAAGGAAAAATTCTGATAATGAGTTAACTCTATTTAAATCGAATGACTTTTCATTGAAATTTTGCATTCACTAGAAAAAAAAAACAGATAAAGAGAGACAATCATACGGGTATTAGCATTTTCGGTATATTGCATTCAAACAAACAATGTCCTGACAATATCAAGGCTGAGTTGCACCATCTAACTTTGACCGTAACTATAACGATAACCGGCGTTTTTTGTATGGAATTTGACAGATTTTTGACGTGTGTCAAAGTTAAAGTAAGATGGTGCAACCCAGCCTAAGTTTTTTACATACCTATAGGTAGTCGTATTAAAATTTATTAATTAAATATACATCCAATTAGGAATCCTACTGGGTTACAATAAAATTAAAACACCAGCAATAAATTCAAAGTAGACTGCGCTAGTGTCAGGGTACTTTATATCAAAGGCGTTCATTATTTTCAGACAGACCTGATATTCAAAATGGAAGGAGTAACGTGATAAGTTTTGAAGTCAAGCCCTTCAAAACGTGAGTAAGTAACTATGTGTATCTTTAGTATTACGATAAGCATGTAATTTAATAAATTGAAATACTTATGAGGTCTTTAGAGGTGACTGGTGAATGAAGGAATTATTTGCAAGTAAACATGAACTTAATGAGCGCCTAGTCAATAAGTAGGTACCTCATTGCCATTACATTTCTAGTACCTAAGCATCTGCAATTCGCTTTAAAAGGAAAGGCATTATCATTGTTTTCGAAACATTTTCTTATGTTTACTTTTTTCTTTAGGAAACAACTTGAACAGAACGGCTATTGTGGAATATTTACACCCACGTTGCCTTCTCTTAACGAAGTTAAACAATACCTAGGGGTCCTAATATGTGGTAAGTTCACTCACACTCAAAGTCAACCTTATACCGTAGAGTTTAAGGTGTACAATAAACTCGCTATCGGGCTCGTGTAAAGCTTATGAATAATAAAAAGTAAACTATTAACCGTATGACAAAGTTCTCGCCAAGCGATAGACGTTCAGCTAAATTGAATATTTGGATGAAATGTTAATGGCCGTATAATGTTGCTGTACTAAGGTGCTTTCCACGCTGTGACTTATTGTAGCGCTTCTATTTAAAGCGTTTTAAACGAAAATTGCAACGCAGCTGCGACATAGTCGTCAGTAATGCTGTCTACCTTTACACACAGATGTTACTTTAAGAAACTACAAACGCGATACAATTGCTGCCACGGTCATGCACTATGCTTATTACGATAGCCGTTTTATTATACGAATCAAAGGATTCACATAACTAAATAAATATATGTTTCTTGAACAGCGTGATGAGTTCGATTCAAACATTTTTATCACTCCTCGCTGTATTATTACTTCAAACAAATAAATGTAAACACAGACTGCACTCGCGCGTAGGAGCAATTTAAATACGCGGCTGCATCGTATATTTTTTTTATTGAGTGAATGCTCCTACGAATATCATAGAATAAATACTAGTTGAATATCGTAATTGCTAATATCTTAATAATTACGATGTACTTTTCGCGATTGAAAACTTGCGTTTGTGTCGCTACAAAAAGTCAAAGTGTGTAACTGGCCTAATAAGTAGGTAACATGTCTCTTGAATAAATGGTAAAAGGAATATATTTAATGGTTTCATTGACAACTTAATACTTTATTACAGGGTTTTGTAAAACTTTTTTTTATATTTTAACACTTAAAATACTTTTTATTTTTTCGAAGCATCTCAAACCACGCCCCGTCCCTCAATAATTATAGGTATTTAAAGAATAGAAAAAACACAAAACATGTTATCTTTTACTAAATGATCTTCTATCAAAATTTGATAAAATTAAAGACTTCAATAAAATATTAAACCCGCAAATAAGGACTCATATAAAAATAGCGTTGTTTATAATAATATCGCGTGAACTATTTTTGACCACATAATCTTAATAACGTGTTCCAATAAATAACATATTTGACGATTTACTCGTAATTCCATAGTCATTTTATTTGTGCATTTCGTGGATAGAAAATATTGTATTTTATCGTATCGTTGCCTAGTGAGGGTAAGATAGTACACCATAAAATTGTCAAGAGAACCTTTACGCCTTTGTACCAACCTTAATTGCGCTTCAAGGCTATAAGGCGGATATTACAGGTAGTGCCACCCAGTCACTTTCGAGTATTAAGATAATTGACTCTCGTCTCGTTGACGACAGCCAACTACTCAAAATAATTAATGAGAGAAATTACGAATTACGCCTTGTAAAGATTGACCTTCATCTTCAATTAAGACTAGGCTGTAACACTTAGAACCAGCGGCAGTCAGTTAATTTCCTTAATGTTAACACGCAAGTGTACAAAAAAACTGACGTACAAAATACACATTTTCGCAACGGTTTTACTGAAGAACTTTTATGGTAAGTAACTTTAGTCGAACTAAATTTTGTGCATAAATTGGACGGTCACCTAGCCTGGCAGACAAGATCAACGCACGACAAAGTAACCGATGGCTTAATAGCATGATCAGTCTAGCAACCGTGTAAGGTTGTGGGTTCGAGTTCTGCATAAGGCAGTCGATAAGAAGAGAAATGTCATACTATACTGTACGTCTCTATTAAAATATCACATAAATCAAACTCCAAAAGTTCCTGTCACTTAGCAGGAAAGTTGATACAATTTCCCTAAATAGGGTGATGAATTAGATAATTATTCCATTAAGAAAATTAAGTTACTGATACTATCAAATAATAACACATTACACATTTTCCTAACACATAACATGTTCTTAGCTTATTTTTTTAAATGGGATCGAGCTTAACTTTAGTTTTTTCAGGTATTACGCTATGGGGGACTTCATGGTTCATCTTCAAAGATGCAGTCATACCAGGAGGGTTCATATTCAACATGACAGGAGTAGTAATAGCTGGTTATGTGTTCGGCCACACATTAGAGAGGTACACAACTGTCAACCCGGTTGTCGGGATGACTGTAGTTGGCGCACTGTATAGAAACTTAGGCCCGCCAAGTTTCTTGGATAATCCTGTCGCTGACATCATTGATTTTCATTTACGGTATGATTTAAGTAATTACGCCGAAACCTATTTTGAGTTATAATTGTTATTTCTATTCCATAATTACAATAAGCTTACGACAACAATCTTAGATTATTCACAGTAATTACAGCAATGTTTGGAGTTTACTTTTAAGGAAGAACCCCTATTATTCATTTTGTTTCAGTTAAATAAATTATTTTTAGGTACATTTAAATAAAACTATTTAAATCCAAAGTAAAACTAAAAGATATGTAGAGTCAGTAAAAAATCCTTTTATTTCTCAACACCAATGCCAGTTTCGTAAATCATTTGATAATTTGGCAGCTCACGTAGACATAAACCTCCAGCCTTGTTCAAACCTTAACAATTAATCTGGGCGGGACGGGATCCGGTTAAAACCAATTCAAAGGACAAAGCAGCCGTTTTTCTTTCAGGCGAATTTACCCCGTAATTATCTTGACGAAGGGCCCACTCAGCTGGAACTGGGAATATATAAAAAACAATTCTTTGAAAGTTTTCTCATTGGCAACCTTGCCTTGGCTCGTCGAGTGTTTGTCTACAGCCTTCTTCAGTCATCTATTGCTGGGCTTTCCATGGTATTGGGGTAAGGCACTCAAACTTCTGAAACAATTTTACTTTTCATTCAATTTTATTTATGTTGTATACGAGTATTACGAAGAATTAAGAGATATAATTTATCATCTACCACATAATATACTCGTACTTTAACTTTTTGTAATAAATTAAAAACAACACCGCTGAGATGAGCTAAAAGTAATCATTACGAGTAATCTACCTACATGACAATATGATACAGGATTCAATGTTACTCTGTAAAGTAAATAAATGAACAAAGCTTGCTAAAAATGGTACGTAGTAGCGCAACAATTTAGGTACGCTACTTTACAGTTCTGTGGCGTAATCTACATACACTTAACTCTTAAATATTTTCCCCAGGTCTCCATTTAGGTGCTATACTCTCATCAGTGTCCCCCGCAGTGGTGGTGCCAACTGTAATGAGTCATAGCGCCCGAGGATTTGGCACCAAGAGTCAGATCGCTCTTCTAGTTGGCAATGCTGGAGGTCTGGACACCGCCTTCACTGAAGGCATGTTTGGAATCATCAATAGCGCTATATTCTACCAATCTTCGTTGATTTATAGGATTATTAAGGTATTTATTGACAGTTTTTTAACAATTTTAATCTTTCAGCAGGGATTACTTGTTCTTGTTTCTGTAAACCTTAAAAAATCTTCATTCGTTTAAGTAAAGTAACACTGAAAATTTAAACCTTTTTGTGGACATAACTTTTTAGATATTTTAGGTAATAGTTCAATTCCCAAATGGTATAATTTGGGCTATAACAATTTTGCTACAAAAAATAATATTTTACTCGATCGTTATCTATAACTTTACACAATTATGATGATTTGATGAAAACATTGTACAATTTATTTGTCAATAAAAAGAAAATTGTTATTGTTACACTTTCTATGATGATAAGTTTAAGTAATTTGACTCTATTTTTATGACTTACAAAGGTAAAACAAGGTAACAAACTTTATAAAAAAAATGTGCATAGTTTCTTTAAAGATAATCCATAAACATTTTCTGGAAGGCCGTGTATTATGATGATTCAATTGACTTTACAAAAGTACGCCGGGTTCTTTGAAAACTATTTGAATTCATAACTCGAAGAAAGCTTACCTTTCCGCTTCCTACCACTTTGAAGTTTAAATCAAACTATCTGCGTTTATAGGAATTCCGAGTGCCGTGAAGGGTACAGGATGATTCTTTGTGCACTTTAAACAGACAGAAAGATTGATTATATTTATAAAGAAAGAAGACTTACATAAGCAAAGCAACTTTTGCTACGACCAGAAAGTCCTAAATTAAATTAATTTTCCCATGCTAAAAGACCGGTCTTTGACTGTTGGTTCACCTGAATTCGTTTGTGAACTTTATAAACGTTTGATTGATAGTGTTAAATTAATACGAGTATAACATTTATAGAATCTTGCCTATAATTTTCATTTGCCTTTGTAAAGGTATATTGTGGACCTATGTGTAATTACCAAGGTAAAAATCGTCTGCATGATCTATTACAATATGACTGAGAACCATTAAATTAAAACGAAAATCATGTTCTAGACGTTTATTATCATAGCATTATGCCTAAAAATCAATAGGTAATTCAACTTATTCAAATGAAAAAGCTTACCTTTGCATACATTTCAAAGACCTTTATGTTTTAACATGTATAAATCCTAGAACCGTTTTCTTATAAAATTATAACTTAAAAGCGATTTGTAATTGGATGCTATTAAAATTCAGATTACACGATCTTAAGGCTCAATTCCATGAAAGCACTTAGGAGTGAGTTTCTTTTTACATAATTTCGACAGGCAGTGCTGGCAGTGTTTGTGGGAATCGCCCTTGGAATATCGTGGGGCGTTTTAGCGGATTTTGTCCCGGATCAGGGAGACCCCTACGCCCCCGCAGTTCGAAGTTTGCTTATTTTTGCCGGCGGTTTTCTACTTACTTATGCTGGCGGATACTTCGGATGGGGCGGCACATGTAAGTAAATAAAACTTCGATTTAATAATACGCACTTTGACCCTAAGACGTTAATGTTTACGAGACAAGAAGGGATCATAATTTAAAAGAGGCAGGCTTTGCGCTTAATGTGAAACGCCTTATAACTTTACTCAATTGTATCATGCTTAAGTATATCAAAATATAGAACAGTTCTCGTGCGTATCAAAGGCGACTAAGAAAATATGAGTATTATTTTGATGAAAAGTTGTCTTATACATATATGTCACCGTAAAATTGTGAATTCCGTCAGATTATAATCTGACGTAGTTAAATTACAATCTAACCTAACCTAACCCACTGTTAGTTTACAATCTAACGCGTTATATTATAAACTGATAGAGTTCACAATTTCACGTTGACATATACAATCTTAATATTAATGTGTAGTCCAAGAGACTAAAATATGTTCACTGTAATTGACATCGTGTGATATTTTCTTCATCTTTGATAGTTTGCATTTCTTCAGCACAATTACAATACTTACAAACCTTTATACAAAAAGCTTAACGAATTTTTTTACTCTTCTCACTCTCAAGTTATTGTTGGCACTGGAATGAAAATAGTATAGCTTTTGATTTAAACACAAAAGTCCCCATTTTTAAGTTACGGATTCAGCAACTATTTTCCATAGTACATTTTTGGAACATGTCCAACATGATGTGTGAGAAATTGTAAGGCTTTATTTTTTTGTTGTTTTTTCTTATTTATGAATAAAATATACATAATTTCTAATATGCTCGCACACATACACTAACAGTATTTACTCATGCCTAAGTTTTATTAATATTACAATTTCAAAAACGTACGAGTAAAAAGTGTATTTTTTCATAATTTACATGTCAACTGAACTGATAAACAGTTTTGTTGCACACAATTAGGTAACTCATTGAAAGAATTATTCATATTAAAAATATAGGTAGTGTTAAAAGATAATTAACCTGATGCATTTTTAGAACTCAAAACCCTTTTTTGAGCTTTAGAAGTACACCTAACAAGCAATATACGATCAGGCTGTTACTTAAAATTTGAGAAAAAATAGTAATTAACAAAATAAAATGTGTGCTTCAAAGACAATAACCATTCTGAAACTGCATGCATGAAAAGTAACAAAGCGAGTAAGCCGACAGCATTTACATAAGATAAACTAAGACGCAAAAACACATATCATTAAAGTCAAATGTTGACACGATTAAGTACTATCATAATCCCTTTTCAACAAAAGGCGCTACCGCAACGAAATAACATACGCAGTCATGATAATACTTTATGAATTACTATTGTGTGACAGATAAGGGTCTACGTTTACTAACACGGCTAATAGTCTCAATAATATTCCAGCCCCTCGCATACCGAGTCGTTTACTTATGAAAACAATCAATGTCAGTTCCTTGATAATATTGGAATAGCTGTCACATTGTTGGGTTAACAATATGTTACTTTGTTGGATTATTTTTGTTATTTATGGTTCATTCAACTTAGAACTTGTATTAATTGCTTTATTCAACTCCTAGACTAATATGCTTTTAACAAATATGTACATAGTACACAAATAGCACAGACTTCAAGAGAGGTTAAAGTGAAAATAATGTATATAAGATATTTCATAGGCATGTAAAAATCAATCCCTGTAGCAGACATTTCCTCCTCATTTATTAACATAGGTACTTATTTCAGTAAAAAAATATTGAAAAAAGAAATAAAACAACACAAAAGCCTACTACTTAACGAATTCGGGATAATAGTCCCAGTTAGCCGTTTCTCTGATAAGCGTTGCTTACCTGTCCCGGCACCATGTTTCTGATAAGTGGTACGTACTTAAAAGAAGTATCGAAATATTACAGTTATAGCCGCGTGAATATCAGCATAAAGTCGCGTGAGAACAGAACTAATGTTAATTGACCGCTACTACATAGCGACTCGAATCGCCACGCTAAGTACAGTCACGAAATGAAAAGGTTCGTCAGTTTTCAAATTGATTCCTTCAACGAATCGCGAGCACATATTACCTTTTGAAACTATGTTACAGAATAATCTCGAGTTAGAGAAAATAATATTTAACTGTTCGGCAGTAAAGTTCAAAATTATTCAGATCAAAGTTGTTTGAAGATTTAACTTGTCAAGAAGATTATTATGATTGATAAACTAAAACCTTCTTGTTGGTTCAACCTGCCACTATCTATTAAATAAAAAAAACTACATTCTGTAACATTGCACTGATGGGATAGAAAAATAAACGAGCAAAACCTTATTCGTTAGCAAACGTCATATTTATTTAAATGTTAGCAGCACTGTTTCTTGCACGGTTATGTTGGCAGGTTTGACTCTTACAGTACCTACTGCAAGCGAAAACCGACACTAAGGTGACGAACCTTTTCATTCCGCGACTGTACATTACGCATGTCTTAAGCTGGGTTGTACCATGTTTTTATATTTTTATTACTTTAACTTTTACAAACGTCAAAAATCTGTCAAACTCCATACAAAAAGCACCGGTTATCGTTATAGTTACCCTTGAAATTAAGTGGTGCAACCGTGCAACTTAGCCTTACTGTTTGACTAAGACTTTAGGCGGGTAATTAAAATTGGTGGAAAATCACAGAGTTCAAAATCGTAAACCAAAAGTGACCAAACATTAAGATCAAATAATCTGAAGATAATAATATCTATTTCAAACGACCTTTGCTTCTTATTTTCAGCACCGTGTGTGTCTGTACACATTTGTGATATCTCCTTTATCACACAACCTACACATTGTCTTGGAAGCTATGTATTTTGATAAGAGCGACTCAAAAATAAATGTCAAGAGCATTGAATAAACTTGGAAACGTTTTCATTATAAATAAGTTAAGTTCGCCAATAACTCTTAGCTCTTGTTAAGAAAGTCGTACCTATGTCGTAAATAATTAATTTCTTAGCGTCCTTTGAAATTAATTTTATTGAAATCCTACTAAATTAAAACACATGATTAAGAACTGAAATGTTTTTTATGGAGTAACCCACTTTTATAGTTACTAGGCCATGAAGACCGCAACTATGAGGATAAACTTAGATATTAATTTCACTAGAGTCCATAATATTAAAATATCTAACCCGAGTTAATAGGGGCAAGTGTTTGAGAGTGAATCGCTACGCTAATTGTAATGTCGTCTTTGTAGCCTTCGTTTCAATTGGGCTCAATCAACAGCATTGCTGTGTGCCGGGTCTTCATTGCTTGATTGTGTTTCGAGATTTTCAAACAAGAACATGCACACAATATAATTTATAATTTAAGTACGTTATTTGATCAATTCGTTCAGTTTTCAGATGTCAATATGTGTTACTTTCATTATTGGTTTAGTACCTTGTAATAATTTTATGTTGAACTATGTAGTTACATATTTCACTTTTGATAAACAAATCACGATTATCACACCAAAAATTGAGTTCGACAGTTCAATTGTTTTATTTTCTAACCAACCAAAACCTGCAAAATGCAAGATTTGGCACTAATTGAATGCACAATGGGTAATTTATCAAGAAACTGTTTAAAAACGAAATTGCATAATTTATTTCTGTATAAACAAAGGGACAATGTGTCTGTCTACTGTCTACGATAGCATTTGTTTTTTTTTTGACACCTTCAATCTTTGCGACTTTAGGCTGCCTGTACACCAAAGTAAAGCGACCGGTTAAAGTACACAGAGAAGAGCTGCGGATATTGTTTTGTTAGGGCGCGAGCATACGACGAGTCATTTGTTTTTCCCGATCCGTTTCTCAGTTACCTATGTATGAATTTATAAAATAGCTTGCAACACCCTGTCCACTAAGCAGGGGTTTTGTGCAATTCTATTGGTAGGTTTTTAACGCTCACTAGCACTATATCACCTTGCTCCGCTTTTGTGGACAGGCAGCCTTACACTGTTGTTCTTAACAGCTGGAGTGGCGATCATGGTGTGCGCGGGCGCCGCGGCCACGCGCTGGTCGCGGCGTGACTGGCCAATCAACAACAACCCGGTGTCAGAGGTCTATAAAGTTCTCTGGAGGATCTTAGAGCCAATGCTCTTTACGCTAAGCGGATACTTCTTAGAGGTAACTTTAATTTGCGTACTAATAATGTGTTCATGTGATGTGGTCAAATGACTTTGTAGGTTATCTTTATTTTTCAATACATACGAGTAAATATGAATTTGATCAGTATTACAGTAAAGTTAACTGCCCGTTGAACAATTATTTAAATTGTCATTTAGTATGGAAATGTCATTTCAAACCAACTCAACATGACTGTGTTTAACTTTTTGTAATTAGGTCCTATGAATCTAAAAATAGACAGTAATGATTATGTCAAAAAGATAATATTTCCATATTACGAGTAACTTAGTTACGTACATTTATTGGCCCTCAAAAGTATTATTATTCTACTCCAGAATAACAGGTAAATTAGATAATAATAGAAAATTGAAGGAAATTGTGTATTGAAACAGTAGCAACTGTGTTGCTCTATCAGCCTATGTGCTCAATACCTACATATATGAAAGAGAAAAGGAAATAACTGATAATGACATAATCTTAGCGGAACACTCGTGGTTTGCATAGTTTTACAATGGTTTTATTGTGCGTCTTAAAATAGTGCACATAATACAGTAGCATTAAGTCTCTTACACAATATTATTTTAGGTAATGCGTAGGTAACTAGTTGATAGAGTGCAAATAAACCTACAGATTATTTACTATTATTAGTTTCATTTGTTTTTATTTTGAGCCTTTAAGTTAATGATAGCTTTAATCTTCACCATTCCAAACTATTCGTTGATTAACAACCAAAAGTAGGCTTTATTCGGATTTGCTAGTTTCAATTGAATTTGTATGATTTATAAACTTGCTTTTGCCTTATAATAGCATCATGCAAAAAGTTTAATGTATTGTAGCACCATACTAAACACTGCATATGCATATTATGCGGTATTTAGCTTGAGGTGCCGTCATATTAAAACATGTCATTTGGTACAGGTATCACAGATGTCGGTTCGGGATTTCGGACTAATATTGGGATGCATAGTCGCAGCCTTGTCCTTTCGGCTGCTGACCGCCTTCCTGGTGTGTCTGGCGAATGAACTCTCCGTGAAAGAGAGCCTGTTTGTAGCAGTCACTTGGATTCCTAAAGCTATAGTGGAGGTATGTTAATCATTCAGTGCCTGGGGCATATCTGTTTTGTAACGTCAAACGTCAGCGAGACTTCAAAATTAAATCTCCTTCAGATTTATTTAATTATGCTCTGATGAAGTGTCACTTCATGATATGTCAATGTCACCCCACCCATGAGCCGCTCCCATACCTCAGACACTGACTTAGTTAAGCTAGACCTATATGTATAAGGTCACCTCCAAAAGACAGACGAGATTTAAGGGACAAATAAAACATCTTAAATTAATTCGTTCTAGATAATACAACCATATATTTAGAATGCTAGTTTTCGAGATTTTTTGATGTTATGTCGAGTGAACCCGAAGTGCTCAGTGCGGTCCGGAGGCATGGCATCGATCATGCCAGACAGTGCATCCGTGTGCAAGGACGTCACGCATGTAAATAATGTGAAAATGACAGAGAGGTCCGATAAACCAAAAAAAATAAAAATATTACATTTAGTTTGTTAGGAAAATTAAAAACAGAAATTTAGCCATTTTTTTTAGTTTTAATGCTAGGGTCCAATTTTTCTAATATAATTAGATGCCCTATTAAAATTTCGTCTGTCTTTTGGAGGTGACCTTATATAAATAATCTCACCAGTTAATTTTGAGTTTAATACTTAAGGTCTAAAATTAAAATTCCATTAGGGAAATTCGTCAGAATTTAATGACTGGTTCAGTCTGCTAGTACCGACCGTACTCATTAATTTTGACATTAACAATTTATTGACTCTCTTCCGTAAATCAACATTTCAATTCTTCGTTACGTTTTATATCTATCTTGTCCATAATTTTAACACTAATACAATAAATAACCAAACCACACCCGCAACAATGTAAACTACACACTCGTCTGCTTTCCTATTTAGCATGATTATCAAGATGTCAACAGAATTATTTTCATATTTTATTATGCCACGAAAATTGGTAGACCAATATTTGGACTGTTGATGTTGGCTCCACGTGATGGTGATTAATCATATTCCACGAGGTAGCTCGTGAATATAGTGCCTGTGGCAGGCGGCCTTCTGCCGTAGCTACTAAATCATTTCAGAAGTTATTAAAAGTAGAACAGTATACACACTCAAGGTATCTTCGACCTTATAGCCGAACTTGAGGCAAGAGTTCACTTTTATAATGGTAGAAAAATAATAATAAATAAACTAACTGTACGCGCAATTTTCTATCCATGAAAATTCTTTCTAGTCACACAATCACATCTCGTATCTGCTTTACTAATCAGAAGGCAATATTAGCATATTGCAATCAATGAAATCCCGTCTATAAAACTATATTCAGTAGTTTTGAGATCCTAGGTAAGCATACATAAATTCTAACTAATAATTTTCTTAAGTAAAGTTATTACCTTTTTATTGGAAATACTTAAATTGACAACCTGCAAAAATCGTAATAGACATTATTTATTATCTTCTTGTCTTGCTCTAAGTGGCTCTACATATCGAACTGTGTTTAAGAAGCGTTAAAAATAGGCATATAAATACTAAAGTACCAAAAAATGTCCTGAAGAATATGGCCCTTTGTCAATCATCTTGAAAGGACTAAAGACGTGACACTTTATTTTTTGAGAGAGTACGCGACCTTGTTACAGTCCTTTGATATCACATTATTACATGACATTATAACATAAATACTTTTAGCTAAAAGGAAACACTTTACAGAAATTTTGTTTGGTTGAAAAATATAATAAATCTCCAAGGAAGTGTGATGTTGTATATCCTACTAATATTATAAATGCGAAAGTTTGTGTGGATGTTTGTTACTCTTTCACGCAAAAACTACTGAACGGATTTTGATGAAATTTCACGCGGGTGAAGCCGCGGGCAAAAGCTAGTTCTTTAACAATAAAAAAATGAAAATAGTTCGTTTCGTTGTCAAATGGTTGACCTCGCAACTATTTAAAAGATTTTAATCGTAATTTACATTTACACTAACTGATATTACTTACTTTACTTACCTTACTTTGATGTATTATACGCCTAGTAAATGTAATTCCACATAGGTAAATGTGCGAGCATGGTTGATGGGAAAATATTGTAATATCCCCAGGCCCTACACAGGATTGCGATAATGTTCCCAATCATACCTTTTTTTAAGGGAGCCTTATAATTCTAATAAAAAATGAATAAACTCTACGCACGTGTAAAGTATTTATTTATTTATTTATTTAAAACTTATATGCACATAGAACGGTGTACATAAGGCGGACTTAATGCCTTTGGGCATTTTCTGCCAGTCAACCTTAGGGCCAAACTGAGAAAGTATGAAGTATGTAGAAAGTTGAACAAGTTTCTCATTGGCAATTCCTCGAAACTATTTATTCAAGTTGTTGTTGGATTCAATAAACGGCTCTTTTGACAGTACCTACAATGGTTTCTAGCCAGAATTCCAACTCAATTTATTCCTTTTAATATATTGGCTTTTATTGTTATCGCCACTCGCGGAGTTTTGGGTACTGACACAGTATAGGTTTGTTGTTGACACGACAAGAAGAAGATTTTAATTCAAATGTCTTCTAACGAATAAAATCTGGAATACCTATTTTTTACTCTTTTACTATAACTTCAATACTATTTAGTCTTCATTACACAATACTAGATTCAAAATCCCGCAAGTTTCTGTATTAAATTACCAGCAACTTTCTTCTATCAAAATTCATCGTCTTAATTATAACAAAAACACTCGAAGCTGCAACTTATCAGATTTGAATTGTCCCGGACGACGTAAAATATCAGCGCATTTTGTTGTGCTCATAGTTGGGCATGTTTTATTCAAGACCACCGCAGCCCAGCTTACGCCGCATCCATAAGCCTTGAGAAGTAAATTTTTGCATGGGATTACGTATTCCAACTCTTAAGATGGCTTGGGAGAAGTTCGTTAAAGAGTATGCTTAAACTTTGCGTTGTTAGAACTTTATAGATATTCCATTTAAAATTTCGTTTATTTATACACGAAGCTGCAGTCATTGTGAACCATGTCACTCATTATAATATTACTGTTATTATTCAAGAAAATGGCTATAACTAATGTGTTTTTTTATTAATTTATTTATCATTTGAAAAAAAAACAGTACATTATATTATATCGATAGCCTATAAAAACCACTAGGGATTATTCTTAAGACTATCATGAGCTTAATTAATCACATTGAAATAATACAATAACATGCAAACATTGTTATCCTGATAAGTCCAGACGACAGCACGTCAAGCCATACACTGCGACATGTTACTCATTGAAAAATTAATAATTTTAACACATTGTAGAGCTTATAACTGCTTAGGCTGAGTTGCACCACGTAACTTTGACCGTAACTTTGACGATAACCGGTGCTTTTTGTATGGTTTTGACAGATTTTTGACGTTTGTCTAAGTTAAAGTAAGATGGTGCTACCCAGCCCTAATCTTTAATGATTCATTTAATCATAATTTAATTTTAAATGATGACATAGATTATTTGACATTAGTTGTTGTGTATTTTGCACAGCTGGAAACTTTATTGATTTCTGTATTTATGTGATCTATGTTGTTGTGTGTCTATCAAAATTGTTTGTTTCCCGAACATAAAGAAAATAAAATAAATGAACTGACAATTGATTTAAAAAGGAGACGAGACGTCGCCGCGTCATGTCTGTTAGGCGCCTGCTAATTTGATTGAACACGCAACGAGAATTCCTTACACGTCACTCTTTGAAACTCCACTTTACAACCATTCTTACGCCTGTATTCACAAACATTACTATGAGGTTTCACAGAACACAGGTTTGTGAATACAGGCCTTAGCCCCGTATTACGAAACGACGCCAATATCCGATCCAATCTTAGGCTTAGGCTGAGTTGCACCACCTAACTTTGTCCGTAACTATAACGATAACACTGGGGAACAGTCATTTTGCGGCATGGTAGTTTAGAGTCAATTCTGTATGCGAGTAGTGTGCTGAATACTAGAAAAATATTAGATTTGTCAAATTGACTCTAGATCTTGAGATAAATACTATTAACTATTTATATGAAAAAAAAACAAATAAAAACACCAATCTGTATAAAAAAATATTTACACTAAGATCCTATTTAAGAACGATATAAAAATTAAAAATATATTTGCTTTTCATCAAATAATAGAAAAAAAACTACAAAAAGCTTTTTCTGTAAGCTTTTATGTTATGGTTTTGGTCAGGAAAATTCCATAATTATGGCAACAGTAATCAGCCATCATCTGGCGGTCCCATTGACCGTAGATATCATTCTTCCACTATCCTGATGTTCTGGTAGAACCGTTCTGCTTATTCCTCACTGTAATCACCCAGATTATGGGAGAACCTGTCCAAATGGCTATTGTTAAAAAAAAAATTAATACTTAAATTAGATCCTTATGTGTTAAATTTTTAAAACAATTTAGCAACCAATTCTGAAAAGTCTGGTGCTCTATGACTCCCCAAATATTGTTTGGCTACTAAAACAAAGCTTAGCCATGCTTCAGATTCAATTTGTGTTATGTGGTTTACAAATACAGTGTCTTAATAAGATTACGGATTTGCGGTCAATCGAATTTATTTTTTCCGTATTCAAACGGACGTTTCAGGACGTAAAGGACTTTAATTTTGCTGACTTTTGATCATTTTAGTGATTAGAAAACTCAGTTCATATCTTTGGCCTTCCAAATTGAAGTCCTTTACGTCCAGCTTGACTCCAGTATGGCAAAGAGTCTTCACGAGTCTTGCAGACGATATTGGACCCCCAATATTTATTATTTTATGGAAGTTTTATAAGAAAGTATGCTTGGTAGGTTTGTATCACTACCTCCGTGATCTTATTTCTTTGATTTTGTAAGTTTAGAAGCCAAATATTAAGAAAAACTGTTGGGATTGTAAACGCAAGGTTTTCATAATGAACTCATATTTTTGAGACAAAAAAGCTCTTTAAAAATTAATTTAAAAGACACAAACTGTTAATTTCAAGGTCTAGTAGCTGATTACTAAATTGTTGTAACTACAACTACACTAATACATGAGTAGAAAATAAAACTTAGTGGGTATAATCAAATTAACATAAGTTTAGGGAGGGTCGTTTAATGTTTTTCATTGATTTCTTTTGTCTCGTTTATCTCAAGAACCAGAGTCAATCCAAAGAAAGTTAATGCACACCATTTATGTCTAATACAAGTAGGTATTTACAAAATCCATTAACAAAATAGATGCCGCAGATTTTTTTATTTTTTTTGTTCCGCAGTGTAATCGGTGTTTTTTGTATGAAGTTTGACAGTTTTTTGACGTTTCTCAAAGTTATAGTAAGATGGTGCAACCGAGCCTTAGACTGACGACGATACTCAAAAATATTCCAAAATTCAAATCGATTCCAATTTTGAAATTCAACCAATCATTCTGGACTTTATGCTTGAGTTGTATCGATTATTGAGTGTCATTTCGTAACGTATCTATCACTTAGCTGTCAGTCGTGGGAAAGGAAAAAATAAAAGAAAAAGAATACTCGAGTCTTGCATGATTTGCATTAAAAAGAAGACCGATTCGTTTTCCTTGACAATGAAAATCGAATAGGAAGAATAGATGATAAATGTTACCTATTGGCCAGTTCTTTACATTAGAAATATAAGTAAATGTTATTCAATTAAACAAGTAGAGAAACTGTGATTAAACTTTAATCACGAATCTAAAAACTTAAATTCGTAAATTATCGTAATCTTACGCAAGCAAGTTATTATTGTATTTACTATCCCTGTTTAATAAAAGGTAGATAGCATACAGTCTACCTTTGCCGCTTATTTTTGCTAAGTTAGGTATCCCTGATACCTACCCTGTATAGCATTGATGAAATATCATTTATTTTTTACAAGTTTTTCAGCTTCATTTTATTTACATTAAATATTTCCTCGCTAGGACATAATTACTGAGTGACATACAAATTTATAATTTCCTTATCGTCGATATTAATTGTATTAACGAGTTGATATTTTCAGGCGGTTTTGGTTCGAGTTGCGACAGACTCGCTGTGGGACACCGCCTCGCCGAGAGACAAACGAGTGGCAGCGCAGCACGCGAATATAATCGTTATCGCCATTATCATAACGTCCACTTTGGGGTCTGTGCTGACGACCGTGCTGGGACCGGTCCTGCTGTCGTCAGAATCGCGAGTCGCTCCCGAAGGTATTGTAGCGAACATTCCACGAACAAATGTCGAATGTTTTTGTAATATTCAACGATTTTGCGAAGAAAACTTTTCTCGAACAACGAACAAATAAAGTTCGTTCAGTGTTTGTCCAGACAAAGGCCTCTCCTGAACAAACAGGTACATAAACTAAATTAAATGAACCAGCGATACTTAAAGTACCATAGTCGACACCCTTAACAATCAATTTTTTCTAAATAGTTTGTGGTAACCTAATGTTCTAAAAAATTCATTAATTTAAAAGGTAGATTCATAAATTAATAAATTATTTTAAAAAAAGCTAATTAAGGTTGTGTAACATCGGGCAGTCAAACATAATATTATTTTACAAAATTTATTGGTAATGTTCAAAACGTTTATGTGTCAATCTATGGGACTATGCTTCATTAACGGGGATAAATAAACTACGAATTAACGACTCATGAACATATTTCCCCCGTATAATGTCAAATTAAAAGTTATTGCGATGGATGCCGAAGCGCCCAGCTTATTTTGTGGTTTTGTGCACAATTTATTTACACTACCGAATGATCTTTTGAAACTATAATGCAACATCAATAAATTAAAGATATGTACTTAAATATTCAATAGATAGATGATATCCTAATATCACTTCAACATTTTCTAAAGAAAGTTTTGTACACAACTGTACTTAAATTACAGATACAATAAGTATTAGGAAATCCCTGTTAATAAAAAACAATCGTTAACCAAATACGAGTGAAAAAGTTCATTTCTACAACAAATTCTTATAGTGTGTTCTTTCTAGAAGTCTTATTATAAAGTATCGTCTCATTTGTTTCAGAGGTGTACCAGAGCCATGGTTTGCCTTCAGCCAAGCATCTCTCCAGGAGGAACACTGTCCCAGGCTCCCTCCACCGCGTCGACGTTCAATAAACATTATTATAAATGCAAACTGTACCTTATTGATACCTACTGAATTAGCATAATTTCCCCGAATAACTGTCATTTTCCAACTTCAGAAACAGATTAAGGCCGGGTAGCAGAGAAAATGGCGAAAATGAGGATTTCATTTTTCATTTTTGNGTATGTTTTATAGGAAAAAGGTAGTTTTCAGTTAATGAATTTTCATGTTTTACCATCTGGTAAAAGGTAGTTGTTTGCAAATTAGTATTACGTCCAATCAAGTGATAATTTAATCTTAATTCAAAAATATTTTTTAGTTTGGCTCATTGATACAAATGGTATCAAAAAAAATGTGCCGTTAAGAACATGCAATAAATTACGTCACGTGCTCAATCACGCGTGACCTCTGCTGAGTTTACATTGAATGAAGATGTTATTGTAAATTATTTGATTCCTAGGTGGTAGGTTCACCACTGATGTGAATATTATCGATACGGACGTACGTGACGGATGTAAATAGACTAAAACTATTAGAATTGCTTAAATAGACTTCCTGAATTCCTTGTCGGTTTACCTTGTAGGTACCTACTCGTTTAGTACAATACGGGCGGTGAGCTTAAAATAAGGTTTCATCTTAGGAAAGTAGCAGCCTTGCCANCACTAGAAAGGCCGCCGTCCCATTTTTGTCCCACTCGCGAGTTTAATCGACTCTAATTTTTTTATTTTTCAACGAAAGTCCATGAAACTTTTTGACTTTTTCTGACTTATTGAATTTTATCATTTTTTAATGTTTTTGATAATATAACATTAATAGAAAATTTTTATAAATCGGTTTTACCTAGAAGCGCCACTGGGTCAATTTTGTCCCACCCCGGTATTTGTAATAATAATTCGATGAAGAGTCCTTGTTTTGAGGAGATACGAGAGTGAAGAGGTGAGGAGCTTTTAGGTAACTCGTGGCAAATGCAGAAATGTAAATATATTGCACTAGTTTTTGCCTGCGACTTCACCAGTGAGAAATTAAGTTTATCATAGAAAGACCTAATTTCTTGACACTAATCGTTGTTATTTGACCAAATCACTAAACATTATTCTAAATTTTAGCCTATATTATGTTATTCTAAAGTATTAACAATAAAACTGCAAAGTTTTATTAAGATCGGCTTAGTATTTTTTGCGTAAAAGAGTGAAGAAACATCCATCGATCTAACCATGAATCCATACTCACTTAGTTCAAGTTCAAGGCATATATCCACTCATTCATTCTTCCTATCCATTCATCAGTCCATCCATCCTTCAATTTATCAATCTTTATTAACTTTTACATTTATAATATTAGTAGGAATAAAAGTGTGAACTGGCCAATGTTTAGAAGCTACCTTCTAAACATTGACCAGTTCACACTTTGTATGATATGATACATTTTTAAAATGTGTGACTTATAAAATTTTGAAAATTAAACGTACATACTTTTTATTGTAACTGGTAAAAAACTTCACTGTGTGTGTACAGATAACAGAAAAATAACCATACCTATAGAAATTCCTAAACACATAGTACACCAGAGAGACAAAAAAAACCATACAAAAAAACTTTGTGCAAAATGTGCACTATTATTTGTAAGATATTTATTTTTCCTTCAAAAATAATAATGATTATTTAAAGTAGTAATTTCATAATTTTAGTACAGTATAACACCATGTAAATTGTGATTATTAATATCGTCACCGTCGTGGCAGAATTAAATAACTGACAAAACCAAAGTTGCGAGATATTCACGTTTTTGTGTTTTTTTTCGTTAAAAATGGCGATAACTTTTAAGGGTAAAAATATTTTACTGTCGGTCTTTTGATATTTTATACAGCAAATTTACCTTTATTAATTCAATATTCTTTGATGATGTTACTTTGTATTATTTTAAATAAAAAAAATAAAAATGTAATTATTTAGTTCTGCCACAACCGTATTTTACAACTAAGTTGCAGTTATTTAGTTTTTATATGTCACTTATTTAGTTTTGCCACAACCAAGGTATTACAAAAACGAATATTTCCATTGAATAAGTACACTTGTTTAATTTTGCCACACTTTTATAAACCTAAATGTTGATTTATTCATTTTATTTTATTTGTTTTGTTAATGCGATTTCAGTCAAAATCTGTAAAATTGTTAAATAATACTAGAATATACCTACTTATTTAATACTTATAAATGTTTAACAAATTGGTATGGTAACCATCAACATCAGATTCCTATAACATTGAAATTAAATTGAAAGAACCAACATCAAAATGAATATCAAAATTAAAATAATCCAAAAACAATAAAACTGTAATAGGGATCTCTCCCTAGGGATCCATAGGGATCCCTTACCCTTAACGTCATGGCAGAACGACGTTCAATGTCACTGCAGATCTCCGTTGACGCTAAGGCACATCGGCAGCTCAATAGACAGTTATGGAAGTCCTTGCGACATTATGTTCGCAACTTTAATACAAATAGTATTAAAGAGGCGATAGAGCGGAACCAAGGCTCAAAAGTATTCGTAAGAGACAACTCTATTGGGCGAAGCTAGCTGACGAAGCTGAAGACTGCGGAAGGTGGTGTAACGTCAACAAAAGCCGAGGTTCTGTGTGATTTTGAAAAGTTTTATGGAAAGCTATATACCTCGACGAAGATATTGTGGATATCAGCATTATCAGCCTATACGAGATTAGGATGGCTCTCAAACACCTAAAGAACAACAAGGCACCGGGTCATGACGGAATAACCTCGGGGCTTCTGAACATTGAAGTCAAGTCCTTCAGAGACCATTTAACTTCGTCTTACTCCAGGGAACAACGCCAGAGGCATGGAATAGAAGCGTGGTGGTACTCTTCAAGAAAGGGGATAAAACTTTGCTGAAGAATTACTGACCCATCTCGCTTCTGAGTCATGTCTACAAGCTGTTTTCGAAAGTTATCACGAATGATCTCGCGCGTAGGTTCGATGACTTCCAGCCTCCCGAACAAGTCGGTTTCTGAAAAGTATCGGTACATATCGAGGCACTGAAGTGCTTGTACAGAAACGCCACCATGTTGGTCCGAGTACAGGAGTGGAGTACGAGGGCGATTCCTCTGCAGCGAGGCGTGATGGAGATGTTATATCTCCGGATCTCCGAAACTATTCACCGCTGCATTGGAAGACGCTTTCAAACTCCTTGAATAGAAAGGATTCGGCACAAACATCAACGACGAGTACATCATTCACCTTCGGTTTGCCGACGATATTGTGTGGTCATGGCAAAATCACTGGAAGACCTCGACACAATGCTCGAAGACCTTAATCTCCCAAAAGGTAGGCCTTCGGGTGAACAACATGGAAAAACGAAGCTTTTGTCGAATGTCTATGTTGCGCCCTACCCAGTTTCGGTTAGGAGCTCGAGTCTCGAGATTGTTGACAAGTATGTCTACCTCGGACAAACGTTTCAGCTAGGTAGAGAAAGAGATCGAATCCAACTCAGCTGGGCAGCATTCGGGAAACTACACAACATCCTTTCGTCCAAAATATCTTAGTGCCTGAAGACGAAAATCTACAATCTGTATGTGTTACCACTGATGACGGCTCGGGAACGCGGCCTCTTACTATAGGCCTTATAAATAAGCTCAAAGTTGCACAGCGTACTTTGAAGAGGGCTATGCTCAGTTTTTCTGTACAAGAGACAGGGCACATAGTACGCAGAACTGTCAGACGATGGGGCAGCAAGGTTCTGGAGTGGAGGGCACGTACCGAAAAGCACAACGTGGACTTCATAAAGGTAGCAGGAAAGCACTGGATGCAGACCGCTACCAGCCGGTCATATTGGAAATCGTTGGGAGAGGCCTATGTTCGGCAGTGGACGTCCTATATGGCTGAAATGATGATGATGATGAAGGTAACTATCCAGATTCAACATCTGAGTAATGAACATTGAAATTAAAAGTAACATTTAAAGTAATGTTACAAAAATGAAATAAATAAAAAACACAATTGTACGAGTATTTTGAAGCAATGTTTCGGATTGAGTTGTGGCAAAATTAAATAAAGTCACTTATTGACTTTCTTAGTACAAGTATTTTGAAGCAATGTTTTGCATTGAGTTGTGGCAGAATTAAATAAAGTCACTTATTCAGTTTTGCCACGTAAATTCTACAACAAACAGAGTTGTAATTTATGGTCAATAGTTTCACTAAACTGAAGATATCTTTGGAAATATCGTAGATATTGCCACGAGAGTAAGACCAAAATATAGGTAACACTTTCTGCTATACAAAAAGTGGAAAAAGTGGTTTTTGCCAAAAGTGTCAGTTATTTAATTCTGCCACGACGGTGACGATATATGAAACCAAAAATATCTGACTTTTAATAATTCAAAATTAACATTGAAATACATTTATATTTTTAAAGAAATAAGTACAAATTGATTTAACTATATAAATAAACCTTTTTTTAAGGATGCTACAAATAGTTTTAAACATAATTTTCATTCCTGAGACTAAAAAATGTTACAAAATATATGCTGGGACAAAATTGACCCGGCGGCGCTTTTAGGGGGGTCGTAAACTTCGGCACTTCTAGTGCTAAGCCGTAAGATAGAAGAATCTTTTAGCCAAAAACATGGCAGATGCAGCAGATATCAACGGATTTAAAACTGGAGTTCATGTGTATCCTTGTAGTTTTGAGTCTCTAGAGCAGTGGTTCTTAACCNTATTAAAGCAGATAGTACTGATAGGCACTGCACATCCTATCTTAACCTGACGGCGGAACTGGGTTTACTTGCTGGTCATTGTTATCCCACCAGACTATGCAATTGTCTGGATCATGTTATGATGAAAACCACCTTGAAAGCATCTATTTTTGTCTTGGATGCATCAGTAACTGACCACGGGCTAATACGTGGGACACTATTTAAGTTGTGAGCCTAACTATGAAAACAAAGTAGTTTATTATTAAAATGGTATTGATTGCGTTTATTGGTATTATCTTTCATGATTTATGTACTTTTTAATGTGTCCGAAATACTTTTCATA